TATTGAGAAATGACAGTAGTCCCCCAGACAGTGAGCAGGTAGTTTACCACCTGTCCTGTCCAAACATTATACCCTTAGGCAAATTCACGTTATTTGATGGTTTGTTGTATTACAGGCACAAACACTCAAGTGTACTTGTCTTATGTGATGAAGGACAAATAAAAAATATTCTACAGGAATGTCATGATAATGTGAATTGTGGCCACTTTTCAGAAGAAAGAACAGTAGAAAGAGTCAAACAAACTGCCTGGTGGATTGACTGGAAAACACAAGTTCATGAATACATTAAATCTTGTGACACCTGTCAAAAAGCAAACAAACAAACAGGCAAGAGGTTTGGACTGCTTCAGAAAATTGCTGAACCCACGGATAAAATGGAGAAATCATCAATATGGATTTTGTCACTGGATTACCTCCTGGAGGATCTTACTCTTACAATTCAGTACTAGTCATAGTTGATAGATTTTCCAAGAGGGCAAAATTTATTCCTAATCATAAAGATGACACAGCCATGGAAGTAGCCATGTTATTCTGGAACAGACTAATGGCTGACGTAGGCATTCCCAAAATAATCATCAGTGATAGAGATCCTAAATTTACATCTGAGTTCTGGAGAAACTTACATGATATGCTAGGAACAAAATTAGCTTTCTCTACTGCCTATCACCCGCAAACTGATGGTTTAGCTGAGAGGATGATACAAACCCTAGAGGACATGCTCAGAAGATTCTGTTCATTTGGATTTGAATTCAAAAATCATGATGGATATACTCATGACTGGGTGAGCCTACTACCTGCCTTAAAAATAGCTTATAATAGTAGCATACATTCCTCAACCAAAGAAGCACCCTATATACTTGAAAGAGGATGGATCCCACGCATGCCCAAAGACACAATCAATGACAAATTACCTCATGTACACCCTACAGCACTGGATTTCAAGAAAATGTTAGATTCAACAAATTTACATGCCAAGAAATGTGTTGAAGATGCTGTAGAATATAATAAGAACAGATGGGATAAGAGTCATAAAGAACCTGAATTCAAAATTGGAGATAAAGTACTTCTGTCCACCGTAAATTTTAATAACCTTGGTGGGAACAAGAAACTCAAACCTTCATTTGTTGGTCCTTTCACTATTAAACAGCTACACGGGAAAAATGCTGTAGAAGTCATATTGAGTGAAGAGTTATCTAGAAAACACCCTGTTTTTCCAGTAAGTCTTGTTAAACCTTACACTCAAAGAACAGCAGACACTCCTGTAGTCCCAGAACCAGTACCAGTCTTAGAAACTCCACCTACTGAAAACCTTAAAGTTCATAAGATACTCAAGGATAAGAAAGAGAGGGTACAAGGGAAAGACACTAGACTTTACCTGGTAAGGTATAAGAACCAATCTGCAGATAAGGATGAATGGCTACCAGAGAATAATATCCCGGATGGAGCTATACATTTAAGGAGTTACAGAGCTTCCAAAAGAACCTCCTAAAGTGGTAGCCCAATTTTTTTTTCTCTCTCTCATCTACTATTTCCTTTTTTATGAGTAAACTCATCTTAGGGGTAGGGAATGTCAGCTTGCTACTATGGCAGAGACAACCTGTCATAGCAAATAAAAATAATAAATTACATAAAAAATCTAAGTATAAACTAAAATTATTACATAAGTAAAAGAAACAATATTACTTATGTAAATAAGATAAAAAATACATAAAAATAAATAAATAACTTAAAAAGTATAAACAAAACCTTGAATATTATTGCAGATTCTGAATCAGCATACAATTTAACCTAGGTTACCTCAGCCAAAGGTACCCCAAATTCTAACTCCTTCACCCTGTAATACAAGTATGAATAATTAACAGGTACCCCCAGATCACGGGTACTGTGACACTTCTGCATAATGCATAATGCATATACTCCAAATCCAGTCTCAGAATTGGAGTATTGTGCACGGTTTAGAAGATAGAGCAGTGTGGAGTTCTGTCTCCAAGCCCATGTGCCACGTAGTCATGCTGCGCACCAGTATCCAAGGATTGGGCCACAAAAGCCCCAGAATCCCCATTGCACGTGGCAACAAAGCCCCCACACGTGTAATAAGAATGTGAACAAGCTAGAATATCCATGAAAATACTACAGTAACCATATTCCAGTGGGTAACACGTGTAGCAAGCCTCAGAAGACACCTCTGGAATATTCTGTGGCCCATTTCCAAGGAACCTGCTCCACGTAACAGAGTAGCCCCTATCCACAGGTTCCCATGGGACATTCTTGGCTGTAATAATTTCGTGCATGACCCCTTGGAGCTTCTGGAATATTATCCCCAAGGTTCCAGCCCTGGTTACATCACCATGTGGGCCAAAATGGGCCCAAAAGCGCCCCCAAGTCCTACTAAGCTCCCCTGGGCAACCCCTGAGGCCTTCCAAAGGTATTTAAAGGGCCTTCTGAACGCCCAAATAATGATCCCCCAGCTTTACAATACCTTATAGAAATTTACTTACCA